TCCAACTTGTAAATGAAATTTCAAAATCGTTTGAACAATCAAAATATACATTAGGTATTTTTATCAACCTATCGAAGGCCTTCGATACGGTTGACCATCGCATCCTACTCAAAAAACTGAAATACTATGGAGTAAATAACCAAGCGTTAAGGTGGTTCAGAAATTACTTAACAAATAGAAAACAATTTGTTGTTGGTAATGACAACTATCACAACAATTGTTTAAGTATAACCTGTGGAGTTCCACAAGGTTCAATCCTCGGACCTCTCCTTTTTTTAATTTATATAAACAATTTAAATAAAGCAACTAATCTGATGAGCATCATGTTTGCTGATGATACTAATTTATTCATCTCTAAGAGCGATATTAGCGAACTTTTTGCCACAGTGAATAAAGAACTTAAACTTTTATCCCACTGGTTCAAATTCAACAAATTAACTTTAAATACTGACAAAACTAAATGGGCTCTTTTTCATTCGAATAGGAAAAAAAAATTTTTACCCTTAAACTTGCCTCCAATCTTTATTGATGAAATTGAAATAAAAAGAGACTCCGTTATTAAATTTTTAGGTGTTTATCTCGATGAACATTAATTGGAATCAACATATTAACTATATATGCACTAAAGTCTCTAAAAACATTGGAGTTTTGTACAAAGCTCGAACTTATCTCAATAAGAAACACTTAAGGCAACTTTATTTCTCATTTATTCACTGCTACATAAACTACGCTAATATTGCCTGGGGAAGTACTGAAAAAAGTAAATTACTTCGTCTTTATCGCTGTCAGAAACGAGCAATTCGCATAATTAACTTTGCTGATCGTTTTTCTCATTGTAAACCTTATTTTATTGAGATGAAAATTTTAAATGTATTTGAACTCAACGTTTTAAAAATTTTATGCTTTGTTTATATGTGGAAAAACATTCTATCCCCCCCAGTCTTTAAAGTTTTTTTTAGTTTAAAACCCAGTAACAAATACACTCTTAAAAGAAAAAATTTTTTTAACGAACCTTTTTGTCAAACAAATTTTAATCAATTTTGTCTTGCCTATCGTGCACCGCACCTATGGAATAAACTTGTTTTACCTAATGTTGATTTTGATAGACCAAATTCTTTTTGTCTTTTTAAAAACAAAACTAAAAATCTAATTTTTTCCCTCGATAACATTTTAGAGTACTATTAATTAATTTATCTATTATTTAAATTTTTATTATTTTTTCCCTGAAGTTTTGTTGTTAACAACTATTTATATTTAAAGATTTGCTAATGTAAAAGTTCTATATATATATTTTACTTTACTGTAACGTATACTTTACAAGGTATTCGTAAATTATATTGTTTATAAATGTTTTTTAAGGTTCCGATGATAAGATCTTAGTGATCTTCTTTCGGAAACCTGGTTTACATTGTTATCACGATTTGTATATATATATATTTGTAAAGTAATTTTAATAGTTTATTGTATTGTAAAACGACTAACTTTGTAAGCTGAAAAAAAAAAACAAACAAAAAAAAAAAAACATTCGGCAAATGTTATACATAAAACATTTGCCAAATGTTATAACAGTAATCATTATTAAATAAATAATAAATATATAACCAATGATAGTATAACCTATATAATATCATAAAACTTATGAAAATATAATGCATAATGTCATAATATTTGATTTTCTTTTAAAAGTAAGTAAATATTTTTTGAGGACCTCAAATCACTTATGCCTTATAATGTAAAGTATTATATTGTCATAAGTATATAAAGTTATATACAAATTGTATTATTTATTTTATATAAAATAAATTAAATAAAGTGTAAATGATTTGGTAATAATTAATATAATAATAAAAAATAAAATTAAATATATGTGCCACTACAATTCGTTTTGCAATAAAAGATTACTTATCATTCATTAATGAATTCCAATAAAATTATAACAAACAGAAGTCAATAAAAAATTATAAAGAAACTGACATTTGCAAAAAAGTCAGTTTCTTTATAATTTTTTATTGACTTTAGTAACAAAAAAGTTAGTAAAGAAATAAAAAATAAAAAAGTTAAAATAAAGATTTTTATCTTTATTTTATTTTTTAATTCTATACTAACTTGTTTAACTCTTTATTTTCAAATTCTTAATAAAAATAACGCATGAGCAAACTCAATCGTTTTTTAAATTGCAAACATGATTAAAGTCCGGAACAAGATCGGCATGATTAGCACAAACAGCCAATTGTAAAACAAACACGGGAAACCATTGGAATATGAACGCCATCACTAGCAAAGTGGTGCTGGTCATCAACCAATGAATCCCATGCATAGACCAAGCACGGAGAGTGTGCTGGGACGTTATGGGTAGTGAATGTCTGTAATGTCTTGTTAGCAAAAAACAATTTATAGACTCCCGGTACGGATACCTGGCACGGTTATCTGGTATAAAAACTTTTGCGCACCATTTTTAAATTTTGTTGAGCCCGCAATTCTTTAATTTATGCGCTTATTTGAACAGCGTATCAAATGTTTGCTCGGTTGCTTAGCACAAAAAAAAAATATCTAGGAAAAACTTCTAGAAGGTTTACAAAAATTGCATTTATATATATATATATATATATATATATATATATATATATATATATATATATATATATATATATATATATATATATATATATATATAATCCAATAATAAATTAAAAATTTTTTTCAATTTCTATTTTTAGTTATTTCAGATATTTCAATAAGAGCGATATACGTATATTCATTAACAAAGAAAAAACTTTTTCTATGGTACTTTAGGTTTTATGCCTGTACGGCAATCGTCAGCCATTGAATACATAAATAAAACAAAAAAATCCGCTAAAAATTACAAAATACTGTGTAGTGGGAAGTTTACGTCGCTAAGACATACTTAATGGCAACCAAAGAAAAAACAAAATATTAGCTAATCACCGGTGTCAAAAAAAGATAAAAAGAATTTATACTGAAATCAAATCATTTCGTTTATTTAATAAGTCATCACCTTTATAATGAAATTATAAAGGTGATGACTATTTATACATCACCTAAATAATGAAATTTTCGAATAAGCAAAGGTTGAAAATTTTTGAAGAGGCGTTATAAGCATTGCAACGCTTTACAATTTTTCATTTAATTAAAAGTGTAAACATTTTGTCTTTTATGTCTCAATATTCTTTAGACAACTCGGTATCATATTTATATTTATTAATGTTAAAAAATTTTAGGTGAATAGCATACCGAGATTTGAATGTAGTTTCACATAAGCCAAAATATACTTTTTCTTTGTAGTCAGGTTTATTTGACAACACTGTATCTTGATAAACGATTTGTTTTGTCAAGCACTGATTGTTCATGGGGCATATGGATTTGTTAAGACATCTGCATGTTTTTCCCTCATCTTTATCATTGCTATATAATATCAAGTTGTTGTGCGAATTAATGATTGACTTGATATTTGGCATACATGAGTTGCTTATTTTAATTGTATTTTGATTAAATATCTTACGAAGTTTTTATTTGAATACAAGAGAATTTGCAGAGAAAACCGGATTTAGATAGCATCTTGATAAAGAGGAATGGATTGTTTAAAAATACTTTCGTATGTATATGCAAATATATATATATATATATATATTCGTATCTATATGCATATATATATATATATATATATATATATATATATATATATATATATATATATTATATATATATATATAAATATATATATATATATATATATATATATATATATATATATATATATATATATATATATATATATATATATATATATATATATAAATATATATATATATATATATATATAAATATATATATATATATATATATATATATATATATATATATATATATATATATATATATATATATATATATATATATATATATATATATATATGTATATATATATATATAAATTAGTAGAAAATCACTTAACAAAAATATTTTTTTATTTTACATTGTGTTTCTTTAACAAAGACTCATCAGAAATGATGAGTCTTTGTTGATGAAACACATTGTAAAACACTGTTCTTTTAAGAACATTGAGCACTCTATTTTGTAGAATAAGTTTTTAAAATTGTTTAATATATATATATATATATATATATATATATATATATATATATATATATATATATATATATATATATATATATATATATATATATATATATATATATATATATATATATATATATATATATATATATATATATATATATATATATATATATATATATAGATATAGATATACATATAAATATATATATGTATATATATATATATATATATATATATATATATATATATATATACATATATACATATATATATATATATATATATATATATATATATATATATATATATATATATATATATATATATATATATATATATATATATATATATATATATATATATATATATATATATATATATATATATATATATATACATAATATATATATATATATATATATATATATATATATATATATATATATATATATATATATATATATATATATATATATATATATATATATATATATACGTTAACAGTTAATCAGGTGGTTATAGTTCTGTTTATAGTTAGTCAGGTGGATATAGTTCTGTTGGCAATCAAAAAATTGGATTTTGAAAAAACTTGATTATTATGAATTCTTCGCATTTCAAACAAATTTTATGTTATCTTACAAGTATTTATACGAATATATAAAATAAAAACCTAATTTTTTGGTAATTATATAAAATATAGGCATCTTTCTTGTTGTTTAATTATATTAATGTAATAAAAACGTGAGGCATTTTCTTTTTAAACTATATCTTATTTTTGTTAACAAACACATCCTTGTTTAAAAATAATACATATATGTTAACAAATTTAGTAAATAACAAATAAGAAAAAGCATAACACCTGGGAAACAAGTTTATTAATCATTTCAAAAGCAAACTTAGTTACCAAAAAACAGTAAACAAACAAAGTAAAATAAATTTACAGCATTTTACTAGTTGATCAAAGCATTTTACATGTTGCGTCATTTTAACAAAAAAAAAAAGAAGTAACCATATTAAAAGTGGAAAAAAGGAAAATGAATAGATATGAAATAGAGGGAGACGACACATCTGATGAAGAAAGCGAAAAGGGTGTTTACAAAAATTTAAAAGCAGAGAACTATAATAAAATAAATACAAAAATAAGAGTAGATATGTTGCACCAGTTAAAATTTGACGATGAACAAGCTATAAAGTTTATTATTAATGAACTTTTAACGATTGAAAATTTTTTAACTAAAACAAAAAAAGTTTCAAAACAAAAACAAGTTCGTACCAAGGTGAAAAACTTAATATCATATTACAATTCAAAGATTGAGGAAGACTCAAAATGTGAATCTGAAAAGTTGCAAGTTAATTCTGCAGTATGGTCTGCGTATACAAAATGTAAAGGTAAAAAACTCGAAAATTTTATAAGTTGTGCAAAATCAAATTTAAGAAAAAAAACAAAAAAGTCTGGCAATCAAAGTAATGATCAATTTATTGATTTAAAATGGTCATTGATATTCCAAGATCTAGGAACCAGATTGCTTGCGTCTGATTCGGTGCGAAACTTATACTTTCAGAATAAAATAATAATCGGAAAGTTTGAAAATTTACCTACTGATGAAACAATAAAAGCGTCTTTAAATGAAATGGTAAATGAATATTTAGATATGCAAAGTAGTAAAATAGACAAAGAATTATTAAAATCTTATATTCTGAATGATGAAAGTTATACCAAATTAGTTAATAGAATAATAAATGATGAAAAGAAAATTTTCTCTTTGATGAAACCAAGATTTGTGAACTCACTAAAAGCGCTCTTAAAAACTATGGATAATTTGATTATTATGCCACCCCATGAAAAGTCTGATGAAAAAAAAACTCAAAGTTGCGAAAACACAGTTAAAAACTACATTGATAATAGAATTGATTATATAAAAGATAATATGAAAATTTTTATAACTAAGCATAATAAAGTTTCAAAACATAAACATGTCATGACACTATTAAAGAATATGCTTGATAATGAATCATTTTGTAAGTTCAAAGACTGTTTGGTTTGTCAAGCTATTCTATCAGCTTATAAGCAACTAACCAAAGGCGAAACAATAGATAGCTTAAAAGAATTGGCAAATAAAATATTTGAATCATATGGAGTTCAGGATTTTAATTATGATTTGCGTTCGGTGCTTATTTTGGAAAAAATATTATCAAAACTCAAAAGTGATATAATATATCCTGTATTAGCAGACCATACTTCATTTTCTTTTAGAAATATTACGGAAAACGCTTCCAAGTATAATGTGGAGGCATTGTTTTGTTATTTGAGGGTAAAACACTGTTCAGCAAAACGTTTCATCAAAAATGCTAAATTAATTAAAGATTTTGATGGAGCTGAATTTTCAAGAGGATGGCAATTTGACAGCAAAAAAAATATATGCAATTGAAACACAGTCAATATCTTCTGTTAATTACGCCCTAACTAATAAGGTTTTGTATTCTTATAATAGTAGCTATGCGGATTTGCACACTAAGATTGAAAATTTTAAAGTTAAACTTAATTTAAATGAAAATGCGATTGTAGAGCATATTAAATCTATATTAAAATATGGTAAAATGGCAGAAAATATGGCAGAAAATATGGCAGAAAAACCGCCTATAAATGCAATCTTTGAGCGTTTTCTAATGACTTTAACATACCATTTATTTGGTACTGAAGTAGAAAGACACCCTGCTGCAGCTATACATAACATTATGGCTTTAGATTTAGTAGAAACCAAGGGTTTCAAGTGGGTTTTTGAGCATCTTCCCATGGCTATTAAAGATGCTGTATCTGTAGTACGTGGAATTCATATAACACTTGGTAAAAGTTTATCACTACCTTATTATTACAATGCATGTGCACCTAATACTTGTGGTTTAGAGACAGAATCATTTCAAAATTTTGTTTTTCAAGAACTAAAACTAGTATCTACTTGGTTAAAATTAAAAGGTTTGAACTTTAATTGTGATTATACAGTCACAAGAGTCCTTGAAGAAATAAACAACTTATGCATAAAGTATTATGGCATAAGTATTAGTCGCCAAAGAATTAGTGAATAACTAGCAATTCCTACACAGTTTCAATAGCATATTTACATTGCTACAAATATGCTATTGAAACAATATATGAAAAACTTATTCAATGTAAAAAAAACTAACTTTATTACACCGTTATTCGAGACACTAATATATTTTATTTGATCATTTATACAAACTACACATTTGAAGCTGTACACAAAGACCTGATTAAAAAGATAATTGACTTAAAACTTTTTCGATTGAGTTTGTAAACTTAATGTTGAAACTGAACTAATTAATTGCTTACAATAGTAAATGTAAATAAAAAAACAAACGGATTTTCATTGGATGGACCAATTGAAAGTAAACATAAAGAGTAAACATTATGAAATAGATTTGTCTTTTAAAACCAATTTTTTGGCACCACTATCCCGAGATTATATGCCAAATAATCGTTTGGCACCACTAACCCGAGATTATATGCCAGCATTGGCCCGCGATAGCTTGCCAGCACTGGTCCATTATCTGTTAACAGTACTGATCCGTGATCATTTTCTAACATTCTTTTGTAGTCGCGTGTCATCACTAAGGCGTTACTTTTTACAAGTTCATACGCTAGCACGCTATTATCAGCCGTTTCTGTGCAAGTTTGTTAATTGACATAATTCAAACAATTATGTGGGTTAACAAATTTGCACAGAAACAAGTACTTTTTGAAATATATTTCAACTCATATCGACAAAATTTAATAAGTATTTTTGAAACTCATTTCCAAACAAAAGTGTGTTAAAAAATAATGAAACTATAACCCAATCAGCAGTACATTAATGGGTCAGAGCTGGCGAGCCAGGTCCGGCAAAACACATGCGATCTAGTTAAAGGCTTTAGCTGGTGAACCAGAACTGCCTTGCCATTACCGGACCATAAGCGTATCATTAATGGCTCGCTAAAGGTACAAATATGCATGGCGCAAAATAGATGAAAATTTTACGGAGAGAAAAATATATTTATGTTTTCACTCAAGTATATAATTTTCATTATATCACATCCTGTATATTTAGTAATCTTGGTTTTAGTTATAAGCCATTGGTCTGAAAGAAAAAAAATTCGAGAAGTTAAAATTATTTTATTTTAACTTTTAGTTGTTTATTTATTTGTCCGAAATCAATCAAAGGGAAATGGTTATTGATGGAGCTTATAACTATGATTACATAGGTAAAACTGGGTTTTATTTTCCTCAGCCTACTGACGCTTTGCCCAAAACATTCGTTCAAAGCAATTGCAAAAAACATGGGTTGAACACTTCAGATAAAGAACTTTCCAACACCACTGCTCTGGATTATATCCTCAATATTTCTTATCAATTGATAATGAAATTATTGAATTTGAAGCTTTATCTGATAACAATTCAGATAAAAGTGATAAGAATATTGTAATAGATGAACTAGAGGGTGATTTAGCATTTTAATCTTCTCAATACAATATTACACAAGAATTCACTGATTTAATTTGCTGATCTATAACCAGAGCTGCTTAAATGTTAATGCATCCGAAAATTTTATTTAAATTTTTGTTTTTTATGTGTTGAAATAAAATTCATTATATATTTGTATTTTTTATGCTTTATTTTATATGATCTCATCATCATTGTCATCAACCCCCACCTTTATTTTCCTTTATTCAATATATTTATTCAACCTTAATTATATTTCTTTACAATTTTTTTATTTTTAATTTGGCGTTGAGTAAAACAAGTACTTCGCTAAGTTTTAATTATTATTTGTTGACTAAAGTATACACTTATTAACTCCGATAATGTTTAGCCTACAAATTATTTTTACCGAACATCATAATATTTTAAGGTATTATTTTGTATTTCATGTATACTTTTTAATGTATACTTTAAGGTTTTTATAATATACCATAAAAATTTCTATAAACTGTATTTTAACATTAGACATGTGTTTAGAGTACAGAAGTAACCTGATGAAAATTATGATAGTGACTCACAAGATTTTAATGAACATCAAGAATTCAAAAAGTCTTGTCTGCAGACACCTGTCGCTGTATTGAATCAAAGTAGAACAAGATTGGAAAAAGTGATCATATTTACCTCTGTGATTAAGGTATTTTGACTACTTATTTGTAGCCTATTGCAAAACATTTTATGAATTATAACTAATGTTAATAAAAAAAATGAACTAAATTGTTTTACTAGTGGTAACAATTTTTTTTAAGGTGAAGGGAGTAGCAGCAAAAAGGGAAGTAGCAAAATAATTGAATTGGACAGGGCAAGGTGATCTTCATAAAAGTCTTTCCAAATTCTTAAATTTTTTTAAGTTATTTAAAGTAAGTTAATAAATACAATAATAAATATATATAAATATTTAAAATTGTTTTTTATTGTTTTCTTTACTTTATTGTCATTTATTAAATATATATATGTGTGTTCCTATGTGTGTGTGTGTTTAAATATTCACTTATTTTCTTTTTGTTGTAGTATTTTTTGTTGTAGTATTTTTTTGTAGTATTTTCTTTTTGTTGTAGTATAATTGGGCACTTTTGCACTTTCAAAAAATACTTTCTTTATTCTTACCAATTGTTAAAAATTGTTACCAATTGTTAAAAATTGTTACCAGTTGTTAAAAATTGTTACCAATCGTTAAAAATTGTTACCAATTGTTAAAAATTGTTACTAATTGTTAAAAATTGTTAACAATTGTTAAAAATTATTAACAATTGGTAAAAATTGTTATCAATTGTTAAAAATTGTTAACAATTGTTAAAAATTGTTACCAATTGTTTAAAAGGTTAACTACTACATGAAGCTCCAAAAAAGAGTTTTAACTATTTTTTTTTTTTTGAAATATATAATATAAAGAAATATTTTAACTCATATACCTTAAATTGCTGTTTTGATTCTTGATTCGATTTCAAATCAAAACCTGCTCGATTTGAGATACAAAAAAAGTCGTGTTTGTCAAAAGGAATTGCCTTTATAAACTAAATTAGAGATTTAAAAAAAATTAAAACGGTTTAGAAGGAGGTAAAAATACCTAACAAACTAACTATAAATATCTATTCAATTTTGACAAAAGATATTGTTAGTAGAATTCTAAATTTTTAGTTATAGGCATTAAAAACTTTTGTCAGGGAAGGAACGATAGGTTCTTTCCCTGACAAAAGTGTATGTATATGTATATATATGTATATGTATATATATAAAAACAAAGAGAGAGAGATACAGATATAGACATATACAGATACATACAACAGCTATATTTAGCTATACTCTTATAATTTTGTTCATTAAAACACTCGATGTATGACTGAGTTTATGTTTATAGAAGCAATACGAAGAAATTTGCTGACAAAAGATACCACATACAGCGAAATTTAAAAGGCAGTTGTGGCTTTTTTTTTTGGAGCTCAAGACAAAAATAGAGGCAGAAAAGAAAGAGCAGAAAAAAAGTCCATCCAAAAAACCAGTTCATCAAAAAATCCTAGCTATACTGCCCAATCATTGACATTGAAACCTTTATCTGGATTATCATTACCACGATTTGAACGCTTTATTTTTGATGAATCTGAGAAAGTATAATGTTCTCAAAGTCTTGCATAATCTGTTTTATATGTTATATTTTATATTAATTGTATATTTGACATTATTATAAGCTTTACAAGTATTTATGTTATTAATGCTAAATTTAATGCATTTATTTTTTATATATTTTCAATGTAAATTTATTAACTTGTAAATTATTAACAAAAAATATGTTTTATGAATTCAATAATTGTTTTTTGTTTTTAACTTATGTCTATTTTAACAAAAAGTAAAAAAAAAACATAACTGACAAACATATTAGATATAATAATTATTTTTATACAATTATATAAAATTTATATATATATATATATGTATATATAATAATTAAAATAGTTATATATATATATATATATATATATATATATATATATATACATGTATATATATATATATATATATATATATATATATATATTTAATAATTAAAATAGTTATATATATATTAATAATAAGTAAAATTATATATATGTATATATATATATATATATATATATATATATATATATATATATATATATATATATATATATATATATATATATATATATATATAATAATAATAAGTAAAATTAGTAAAAATTTATGAAAAAAGTAGTTTAATTGGACAATTTTGTATAGTGAGCGTTCAGTGAAACGTTCGCTGATTGCCACCGTTGGCCCTAAATTAAATCAATGCTGGCTTGCCGCTAGCAAAACGCTGCTGCGCCAGCACTGGTTTGCGTATACTGGCCCTTTGAAAAACCAATGAGCAACACGGCGCTGGCGTGCCAGGCCTGGTACAGCTTGGCAGCCGAGCCTGGTTCGCTATTGGGCCAAATAGTGTCTGCTTACTCGGAAACAATAAAATTTTATATATAACGAGTTCATAATATCATCAGTAAATTTTTTTATTATGCCAACCTAGTACTAAATTGATGCAAATCTAAATACAAATTTAGGATTACTAAGACTTTTATATGAAAAAATATTTGAAAATAATTATTATTATTACAAATCTAAATAAAGACTTTTATTTAGTTAAAGCTCCATCGTTTTTAGTAAAATAATAACTGTAAGATAAAATGATTACTATTTTCAAAACTTTTGCATCTTTTCGAATACTAGTATCAAAATTTTAATCTCATGTTATTTTATTATATAGAACACATTTAATGTTAAGGATTTGACTATTTGAAAGCTGTTTTATAAATCAATATATATATATATATATATATATATATATATATATATATATATATATATATATATATATATATATATATATATATATATATATATATATATATATACATATACGTGGACTGAATTTTTAAATCAATCAAATACTAGAATATTATATATCATTGAAAAGCCCTTAAATGCAGAAATTTTCGTTATATGGATTTCTTAATAAAACTGTGGTCAAAATTATAAATAAAAAAAAATAATTTATGAGAACGTAACAAAAAAAGTTTAAAAATGCTTTTTTAAACATATATAAAATTGTATAAAAAACTATTTTACCATGTTACAAGATGTATCAGAGTATCCGTTTTGTCATGTATATGGAACTCCAACAAAAAAACACACACAGCAGCAAGTCTTTTGAAATAAATAAAGTAATTAACTATTGTCTTAGCTTTTAGTAAATGATTTATGTTTTGAATTCCATTTATGAACTAAAAATAATCATTTTTAATGATAGACACCACGTGAAAGTAAGCCAAAGCCATCTATCAAAAAATTTTGCAAGCCACAAAACTTGCTGTACTTATTTGCAAGCCACAAAACTTGCTATACCTATTTGCAAGCCACAAAACTTGTTATACCTAATTGCAAGCCACAAAACTTGCTTTACCTAATGGCAAACCACAAAACTTGTTGTACTTGTGTGCAAGCCACAAAACTTGCTGTATCTATTTGCAATCCTCAAACCTTACGGTACTTGTTTATAAGCCACAAAACTTGCAGAACTTTTTTTTCAAGCATTTTTACATTATTTCATATTCAAATTTAGAAAATATTAACTTATCTAATACAACATCAGCAGCTAGCTGGATATTTTTCATCTTAAGCTCGACAGCTTCAATACCAGTTTCATCTTGTTACCAGTAAGAAATGTAAAGTGTAAATTCTATAATTTTGTCTCTTGTTCACTTTTTCTAGTCTACCATCATAAATGATAGATTTTGATGAGTCAGTATTATATCATTCGTGACTGAGTTTTCTGCCAACAAATCTTTCAGACATCGCATCATATAAATCTTCAAGTTGCTTTGCAGATAAGTATTTGTATAAATTCATCATTTCACTGATAGTTAAGATTTGAAAGCATTAAAAAAAAATGTAACTAACAAAATAAATGACTTTTTTGGGAAAATCAAAACACTGCTGAAAAATAATTAGTTTTAAAACTTACTATTTGTGAAAAGAATGTAATCAAATAAAAAATATTTGATTTAGGCATTAAATTATTACAAAGATTAAAAAGAAATAACTGTGGCAGATATAAATTAAAAAAAAGTGTAACCAAAAAAAAAAGTATTAGAAATTGGCCTTACATACACAAATTACATACACAGTGAACAAAGAAATAGCTCTTAAACTTTCCACCTGTGGTAGATCTTGATGAAACTAAATGTAAAATAAAACTGTAATCAATAAGAAAATTAAATTTGATATTAAATCTATAGTATAGCCATAACAAAAGAAATGACATAGACATCCGCAGCAGGTGTTAATGAAGCTTAATGTAAAAAGGTGTAATTAATAGAAAAAAAGAAGGATATAGATGCAACTAATATCACGAAAAGATGCAATATACAAATAAACAAAAAAAGTTAAAAATGGGATTAAATCAATACACTGCTGAAAAAGAATTGACTCTTAAACCTACCAACTGTATCAGATGCAGATGGAACTAAATACAAAATGGATTTTATCCACAAAAAGAAGGTATTGGCAATAAATCTTTCACAAGTTAAAAAATAATAGCTTTTAAATTTACTAATTTTTACTAATAATTAGTTGTTTAAGAAATGTTTAAGAAATCAATACACTGCTAAAAAAGAATTGACTCTTAAACCTACCAACTGTATTAGATGCAGATGGAACTAAATACAAAATGGATTTTATCCGCAAAAAGAAGGTATTGGCAATAAATCTTTCACAAGTTAAAAAATAATAGCTTTTAAATTTACTAATTTTTTCTAATAATTAGTTGTTTAAGAAATGACTTAAGATAAAAAGCATATGAATTAAATCAAAGCTTTAAATTTCTGATTACATGACCGAAATTGCGACATAAAAACTTACCAGTGGAAGGCTAAAATTAACAAGAAAACTGTATATCAAAAAAAAAATAAAGCACCTTAAATTTGTTTTAACCTTAAGTGACAACAATCAAACAAGTTCGGCATAATGTGCAACAACTTTATTGCTAAAGTATATAATGAAAACATAATTACACAAGTAAACATTAAAAAAGGTTGTATAACGATTTAAACAATCAAAGAAAGACTATAAAAAAGATATCTTTTGTATTAAAAAATTTTTAAGGCATCAAAATGTTAAAGTAAAAATGTAAATTGTAAAGATTATATTGTTCATGTCACCCCTATATGCCACTATCATCTATCATATCACTTTACATCACTATCATATCTATACATCTATACACCACTATCAT